GGGACATAAAAGTAAGACTCATTATGTTCAGTTCATTTAAAATGAACATTGAAGTTATTTGGGAAGTTATGGTGTATGATTAAGATTCCAAATTCATCGACTTAGACCTTTGGTTTATTGTCTAAGTTATTGGAATGCTTCTGTGACTTGACTATCTTTTGGCTATTTTTGATGAGTGGGAGTAATAGACGTGTTAACTCCAAGCTCTTAGCTGTTAGAGATAGTACTTAAAGTTAACTTATAAAGAAGTCATAGAATTTAGGTAGCATTATGCTAACATTAAGAGATCTCTACTTAAGGCATGCTTATAAAGGTTTAGAGATCATACAGTGTACTCTTTTGTACAATTTGGATGTGTTTTCTCCTTCAGTTGTGCACATAATGTATTTTGAGAAACATCCCTTAAGGTACCAAGAATAAACATAGCGTTTGTTCATTAAGGACCTAAGTTGGAGAATTAAATGCATGTGACCATAATGGATATTACTCTGATTAAATAGAGGATATATCACTATGATTCCTGTGTTTTGTTCTTTGATGAAGGTTGTGCTAGTACTTGCACCAAGTGGGAGAATGTAAGATTTTCCCTAATAATATATATTATATATTATATATTAGGGCTTTAGTTAAATGGTGCAAGTGGATGATATGAACCTAGTCCAAGGTTCAAATAAGATGGAGTATTGTCCCAAGAATGCTCTCAAAAGTAAAGATAGAGATGGATCAAAATACCTTAACCTCACGAGAAACGCTTAGTCTTGAATCCTCAAAGACTTGGAAGAATCCCATGTAGCTTCAAGTACCTTGATGTTGCAATCTTCAATCAACTAGAGTCGGATCTAGTTTCCTTCGATTCAAGAACGAGTCCACGAACCTAAATCTAAGGTTGAAGAAAGTAAGATTGATTCGAGTCCACGAATCAATTTGCTAGTCGAGTCCACGACTAGCCACTAATTGAGTCCACAATTAGCCATAAGGTTTCTTACACAAGTGTAAAGAAAAACTTAAGAATTTTATTGAAATTGAAGCCTGTTTAAAACTGATATGGATGTGACCTATTTATAGGTATAGGGCAGCATTGTAATCTAAATACAATGGGAAAAGGAATCCTAAACCTAATCTAGAAAACAAGTAAATAGAGTTTTATTTAGAAAAGGATTTAAAGAATCCTTTCTAAATACAACTAGTGTTTTCTCTTTTATGCCAAACAATTTAATTAATGATGACCAAAAATAATAGGGCTGATTTGGGCCTAATTTAATCACCAAAATCAACACTTAAACAATTATAAAAAGCCTTGAAATCTTCTTCATCTTTTGCAAATGGGCTTGACTTGGATTTCCACCATCTTTGAATATCACCAATGAAGAGTTGTCTTAATCGTTTGGACTTGGGCCTTGTGATTGACCCAATTGGTACTCTTGATGGATCTTCATTATGTTGGGCCGCATCATCCTCACCTTCTTGAAAATGATTCGACCTCGAATCTTGTAAGCATTGTCTTCGATCCATGATATCACTTGAAATGGGCCACTATAATACTTTCCTCTATCGAATGGAATTATTATTGGGCCTTCTTGTTTCTTCCACCAATGATTCTTTAAGGATGTAGTTATGGGCCTTGTGATGAGCCCACTATAGACCCTTATTGGATTCCATGTGTACTGGTTCTTATTATTCAGAGCCTAGGTTTATCTCGTTCTTCTCTTACATACTACTTTTTTTCGTGTCTTATTCATTAAAAAACCCCCAAAAAATTTTCCTTTGCATTCTTGATTATTTTCTTGAATCTTGATACATGTCCTTTAGTTTCTTGAAAACCTATCCCGAAAGAGTTTTCCCTTTTTCCTATCCAATATCAACGATACCTCACACCTCCTAAGTACCATATTACCACAAATTCAGTCAAGAAAAAAATCCCATCTCACCCTTACCTATATACGAAGTGCATTTACGCGCAATCACGTCGCAATCACACCCTGTCCAGATTTCCGCGTTTTGTGACCAGTTTCAAAGAATGATCTATATCTCGAGATCCACTGTTTAGTTTTATCTGAAATTTTGTTATGTTGTAGATCTCTTCTGGGGCATTCATTTGATATATTATACACTTGCTAATTCCTTACGGTCATTAAGATATTGATCTTCGAAGTAAGGGCAGCGTTTCTGTTTTTCTGTGTGATTCTTGCAATTCTTGATTCTATTTTGAAGGGGTTGTGTGGATCCTCTTGGTCCAAAATATTTTTTGATATTTACAGTAGTTATTTGGAGGTTACTTATTATAAAAATTTATCAAAAAAATTCAAGAAAGTTGAAAAAAAAAAAAAAAAAAGAGAAAGCAAAAGAAGAAGAAGAAGAAGAAGAATAAGGTTGGGGAAAGAATAAGGTTGGTAGAAGAATCTTGGAGGGAAAAGGAAGGGGAAAAGTATAGGGTTGGAAGGAGTTCTTGATAGATTCCTATTTTGTTGTGGTATACTTGAACCCCTCTTACATTCTATTTGTCTCTATCTGTTGATATTGGTCTTGCACATCTTTCTGCCATACTTCTTTCTTTGGTTTCCTTTTTCTTTCAAATCTTATTTAGTTTCTTTGCTCGTATTGTCCTTTCTTTGCTTCTTGCTCTCAATTTTATTACCTATCTCGTGATACACCCTTACTCTCAATGGCTTGTGAAGTCTTCCAAGGTACGTTTTCTTGAACTTTGAGGTTGAATCCATATCAACATGAGTACCTGACTAGAATTTTCCTTTTTGGAAAAAGGCTTGTGAGAGTATCTGCCACCTTGAGCGATACACGTGTGGAGTGTGTGTTTGTAAGAGTGTGTAGTGCACCCCAGAGCTATATAATCCACCTCTTACCTGAGAGCTGAGAATAGTGAGGGACCGAGCCAACTTTTTGGTTTCACTAACGTGTCTACACACACATTTTCTTGTTTTTAGAATTTTTTTTTCCTTTACAGATGGATGAACAAGTTCCAAACCCACCCCGGCCATTGGAAGCAAAAATAGATGCTCTAACCTTCGCCATGGACGGGTTACTCACACGAATGACTAATTTGGAGCAACGCCCACAGCAAGTGCAACACACAATGATGAGCGACACCTGCCACCAGCAGGGAGAGTGGATCCTAGATGTCAAAGGATCCAACAGCCTAATGAAGAGCTAGGAAACATTAAACTTGAAATTCCTTACTTCTCTGGTGAGAAGGGACCAACAGAGTATATAGAATGGGAGAATGCTGTTGAAACACTTTTTGATTTAAAGCACTATTCTGATCTTACAAAAATTAGGCTAGTTGCTACATCTTTTAAGGGGTATGCAGTATCTTGGCGGAGAAAAAGAAATAGGGAGAGAGTTGCTGATTTTATTCCCTATGAATCTTGGGTTCAAGTAAGGGAAGATATGCGCCTAACTTTTCGCCCTAAATCTTTTTTCTATGATCTTGAAAGAAAATTGCAGGGAACCGTTCAGGGATCAATGTCGGTTGATGACTATCACCGAACAATCAATATTTTGCTAGAGCAAGGGGACATACATGAAGAAGAGGCAAGAACTATTGCTCGTTTCTTACATGGATTGAACAAAGAAATCCGGTGGGGAATGAGTACACAAAGATATGGGCAAATTATATTATGCACCCGGTGCATAATCGATTATGCACCGCGCGTCTTTTTTTTTTTTAAATGAAAACTAATAGTGTTTATTTTCGCTGTTTCGCACCCTTTTGCAAAAAGTAACTCTGTTATTCAGTGTCATTTTGTATACACTGCAGTTTCAATTGAACACAACTACAGTTTCATTTCGATATAACTATAGTTTCATTCGATATTTATAGACTCAAATATGTGAAAATGTTATTTAATTTTATTTTATATACACTATAGTTTCATTAAAACACAACTACATGATCATTTTGATATAATTACACCTTCATTGTACAATATACACTGCAGTTTCATTTCACTATAACTACAGTATCATTTTGATATAACTGCAGTGTCGGTTTGGATATACTGTAGTGTCAGTTGGTGTTTAATACACTAAACAAACGGACTCCGTTAACTCTAACGGCGGATCGTTTCTTTACTTAAAGAAACGGCGTCGTTTTTTATCGCGGTGCACATGCACCGCGGTCTATAATATAACGACTGAAAGATATGACACCCTTGATGATGCCTTGTATGCTGCACGCGAATATGAAGCAAAAATCAAAGAGATGAAGATGTACAAGCCCAACAATGGTGCATCAAGATGGAACAACACTCATTCTACCCCTCAAAGGCGTGATGAACGCCCTCTTCCAAGAGATGATTCACGAGACAAAGGTAAGGAAAAGGTAAGTGAGGCAGTGAGGCCTCAACGTGATAGCTAGAGAATTAATTTGTTATAGATGTAATGGAAGAGGCCATATGGCTCGTGATTGTCCTAACAAGAGGGTAGTTAAGATAACAAAACAATGTGAAAAGTTTGCTTCTTGTCTTGAATATGAGTCTGAGGATGAGGTTAGTGACCATTTGGAAACCCCCAATGAGCATGTTGAGGAGGAACCACCTTTACCTTTAGATTTTGATTATGAATATGCTGATAGTGAGTCTGTTCATACTCTTGTTGTTAAGAAGGTTTTGAATGTTCATCCTTTAAAAGAAGATGAGTGTCAAAGAGAAAATATATTTTATGCTAAAGGGTCAATTAGAGGGAATGCTTGTACTGTGATAATAGATTCTGGAAGTTGCACAAATGTGGCTAGTGCAGCTATGGTTAAATTTCTTCAATTACCTTTGCTTGATCACCCTAATCCATATCGTTTGCAATGGTTAATCGATGCAGGAGAAGTTAGAGTAACAAAGCAGGCTCTTATTCCTTTATCTTTTAACAGTTACCGTGATGAAATTTTGTGTGATATTGTCCCAATGCAGGCTACTCATGTGCTGTTAGGTAGACCGTGGCAATTTGATAGAAAAATCACTTTTGATGGAATGATGAACACTTATGTGTTTCACATGGATGGAGTTAGATATGTCTTGTCGCCTTTGACTCCTAAACAGGTGGAAGAAGTACTATTGAAATCGAGGAAGGCATCAAAAGAGGTGAAATCAATGCCATATTCCCCCTATCCAAAATCAAAGCATCCACCTCCTCCAATCTCCCTTTCCACGCCATTTTCTTCTCAAAACCCAGCAAAGGAATCACGACATCAGCCCTCTCTTCTTGCAACAAAAAATGACATTAAGAAGACAATAAGAAGGGGAGACATGTTTAACTTACTTTTCATTCATAAGCTTACCACTGATCTTGATTCTTCACTCGTGTTACACTCTGAATCTTGTTTTCGTAATGCCTCTATTGATGAATTGCTTGCTGATTTTTCAGATTTATTCCCTAAAGAGATGCCAAAAGGATTGCCACCACTTAGAGGGATTGAGCATCAAATCGACTTTGTCCCTGGATCTACCTTGCCAAACCGACCAGCCTACAAAACCAATCCCGTGGAAGCAAAGGAAATCCAGAAACAGGTTGAAGAGCTTCTTGAAATTGGACATATTCGAGAAAGCTTGAGTCTGTGTGTCGTTCCAGTGCTCATTGTCCCAAAAAAAGATGGTACATGGAGAATGTGTGTTGATTGTCTTGCAATCAACAATATAACTATTAAGTATAGATTTCCTATTCCTCGAATTGATGATATGCTTGGTGAACTTTATGGAGCTAAGTACTTTAGCAAGGTGGATTTGAAACGAGGATATCATCAAATCAGGATGAAAGAAGGTGATGAGTGGAAAACAGCCTTCAAACAAAGCATGGTTTATATGAGTGGTTAGTCATGCCTTTTGGCTTAGCTAATGCCCCTAGCACATTCATGAGGCTTATGAACCATGTTTTGAGGAAATTTATTGGTAATTTTGTTGTTGTTTACTTTGATGATATTCTGATTTATAGCAAGTCACAATAAAAACACTTGAAACACCTTCGATTAGTTTTTCTTGAACTTAGGGCTGCACAGTTGTGTGCCAATCTTGAGAAGTGTTCTTTTATGTCTGAGAGTGTCGAGTTTTTAGGATTTCATGTTAGTATAGAAGGTGTGACCATGGATTCAAAAAAGGTTGAAGCTATCACAAGTTGGCCAACGCCAACTAATGTATCTAACTTGCGTAGTTTTCTTGGACTGGCAGGTTTCTACAGAAAGTTTGTTCGTGATTTCAGCTCCATAGCAGCCCCTATGCATGAGTTGATTAAGAAAGACACCATCTTCAAATGGGGGCCTAAATAGGAACAAGCTTTTGCTACATTGAAAGAGAAACTCACCACCGCTCCTGTTCTAGTTTTGCCTTGTTTTGATAAAACTTTTGAACTAGAATGTGATGCTTCTGGCATTGGAGTTGGTGCTGTACTGATGCAGGATAAACGCCCCATTGCCTATTTTAGTGAGAAGTTGGGTGGCGCAACACTCAACTATCCCACATATGATAAAGAACTTTATGTCATTATAAGAGCCTTGGAAACTTGGCAACATTATTTATGGTTTAAAGACTTTATTTTAGGCACTGATCATGAAGCCTTAAAACATTTGAAAGGCCAAGGATAGCTTAGATGGAGAAGAACGTGCCAAGAAGATCAAGGAGATGCATGTTAAAGTCAAAGAACAAATTCATAAAAGGAACGAACAAATAGCTGCTCGAGTGAACAAGACAAGGAAAAAGATCACATTTGAGCCTAGAGATTGGGTGTGGATTCACTTGCGCAAAGACCGTTTTCCCCGCGAGAGAAAGTCAAAGCTGAACCAACGTGGAGATGGCCCATTTCAAGTTATATTACGGATTGGAGATAACGCTTATAAGGTTGATCTTAGAGGAGAATACAATGTCTCTTCTACTTTCAATGTTTCAGACTTGTCTCCATATGATTGCACAGATTCGAGGACGAATCATTTTCAAGAAGGGGAGGATAATGTAACCCAAACTACTGAAGATCCATTAAGAGTACCAGTTGGGCCAATCACAAGGTCTAAGTCCAAACAATTAAGACAACTCTTCATTGGTTATGTTCAAAAATGGTGGAAATCCAATTCAAGCCCAATTGCAAATGATGGCGAAGAACTCAAGGATTTTTATAATTGTTTAAGTTCTGATTTTGGTGATTAAATTAGGCCCAAATCAGCCCTATTATTTTTGGTCATCATTAATTTAAATTGTTTGGCATAAAAGAGAAAACACTAGTTTGTATTTAGAAAGGATTCCTTAAATCCCTTTCTAAATAAGACTTTATTTACTTGTTTTCTAGATTAGGTTTAGAACTCTTTCTTCCATTGTATTTAAAATTATAATGCTGCCCCTATACCTATAAATAGGGCACATCCATATCAGTTTCAATCAGGCTTTAATTCAATAAAATTCTTAAGTTTTTCTTTACACTTGTGTAAGAAACCTTATGGCTAATTGTGGACTCAATTAGTGGCTAGTTGTGGACTCGACTAGCAAATTGATTCGTGAACTCGGATCAATCTCACTTTCTTCAACCTTAGATTTAGGTTCGTGGACTCGTTCTTGAATCGAAGGAAACTAGATCCGACTCTAGTTGATTGAAGATTGCAATATCGAGGTACTTGAAGCTACATGGGATTCTTCAAAGTCTTTGAGGATTCGGGACTAAGGGTTTCTCGTGAGGCTTAAGTATGTTGAGCCATCTCTATCTTTACTTTTGAGAGCATTCTTGGGACAATATTCCATCTTATTTGAATCTTGGACTATATTTATATCAATTTGGATCGAAACTGATATGGATCGGAAATTTTTTTTTGGGGTTTTTTAATGAAAAAGACTCAAAAAAAAGTAGTATTCAAAAAGAGTTTCAATAGCATTCTCCCATTCTATGTATTCGGTATGTCCTTTCTCACCGGTGAAGTTAGGAATTTCAAGTTTAATGTTTCCTAACTCCACATTACGCTGTTGGATCCTTTGACATTTAGGATCCACTCTTCCTGCTGGTGGCAGGTGTCGCTCATCATTGTGTGGTGGTTGCACTTACTGTGAGTGTTGCTCCAAATTAGTCACTCGTTTGAGTAACCTGTTTATTTTTTATTCTAATCTCTTACGTGTGTTTGGAACCTCTTCAGCCATCAGTAAATGAGAAACAAAATCTAAAAACAAGAAGATATGTGAGTATTCATGTTAGTGAAACCAAAAAGTTGGCTCGCTCCCTCACTTTTCTCAGCTCACGGGTAAGAGATGGATCATATGGCTCTGGGGGTTCACTACACACTCTTACAAACACACACTCCACTCGTGTATCACTCCAGGTGGCAAATACTATCACAAGCCTTTTTCCAAAAAGGAAAATTTCTAGTCCAGAACTCAAGTTGATATGGATTCAACCTCAAAGTTCAAGAAAACGTACCTTGGAAAGCTTCACAAGCCTTTAAGAGTAAGGTGTATCGCGAGGTAGGTAATAAAATTGAGAGCAAGAAGCAAAGAAAAAGGACAAAACAAGCAAAGAAACTAAGCAAGATTTGAAAGAAAAAGGGAGGCAAAGAAAGAAGTATGGCAGAAAGATATGCAAGACCAATATCAAAAGATAGTGACAAATAGAATATAAAAGGGGTTCACGTGTACCACAACCAATTAGGAATCTATAAAGAACTCCTTCCAACCTTATACTTTTCCTCTTCCTTGTCCCTCAAAAATTCTCTTACCAGCCAAATTATTCCCCAACCTTATTCTTCTTCATCATAGCTTTCTTTTTTTTGTTTTTTTTTTTTCAACTTTCTTGATTTTTTTTAAAATTTTTTTTTTGATAAGTAACCTCCAAATAACTACTGTAAATATCAACAAAAATTTCGGATCAAGAGGATCCAAACACACGTAAGAGATTAGAGCACAAAATAGATGCTCTAGCCTTTGCCATGGAAGGTTTAAGCACTCGAATGACTAATCTAGAGCAACACCCTAAGCGAGTGCAACTGCCACTCTATACTAATTGATATGAACCTAGTCCAAGGTTCAAATAAGATGGAGTATTGCCCCAAGATTGCTCTCAATGTAAAGATAGAGATGGATCAAAATACCTTAAACCTCACAAGAAACCCCTTTGTCTTGAATCCTCAAAGACTTGGAAGAATCTCATTGTAGCTTCAAATACCTTGATGATGCAATCTTCAATCAACTAGAGTTGGATCTAATTTCCTTCGATTCAAGAACGAGTCCACGAACCTAAATCTAAGATTGAAGAAAGGAAGATTGATTCAAGTCCACGAATCAATTTGCTAGTCGAGTCCACGACTAGCCACTAATTGAGTCCACAATTAGCCATAAGGTTTCTTACACAAGTGTAAAGAAAAACTTAAGAATTTTATTGAATTAAAGCCTGTTTAAAACTGATATGGATGTGCCCTATTTATAGGTATAGGGCAGCATTGTAATCCTAAATACAATGGGAATAAGAGTCCTAAACCTAATCTAGAAAGCAAGTAAATATAGTCCTATTTAGAAAAGGATTTAAGGAATCCTTTCTAAATACAAACTAGTGTTTTCTCTTTCATGCCAAACAAATTAAAATAATAATAACTAAAAATTATAAGGCTTATTTGTGCCTAATTTAATCTCCAAAATCAGCACTTAAACAGTTATAAAAAGACTTGAATTCTTCTTCATCTTTTGAAATGGGCTTGACTTGGATTTCCACCATCTTTGAATATCACCAATGAAGAGTTGTCTTAATTGTTTGGACTTGGGCCTTGTGATTGGCCCAATTGGTACTCTTGATGGATTTTCATTATGTTGGGCCGCATCATCCTCCCCTTCTTGAAAATGATTCGACCTCGAATCTTGTAAGCATTGTCTTCGATCCATGATATCACTTGAAATGGGCCACTATAATACTTTCCGCTATCGAATGGAATTATTATTGGGCCTTCTTGTTTCTTCCACCAATGATTATTTAAGGATGTAGTTATGGGCCTTGTGATGAGTCCACTATAGACCCTTGGATTCCATGTGTACTGGTTCGTATTATTCTCCCCTTCTTGAAAAGGATTGATCCTCGAATCCAAATCTTTAATGAAAGACAAGTTAGCAAGCTCACTTTGTGTTTTATCACACGCTCATGAAACTTTTTCTTGCGATGCTTGACACGACTAGCTCCAATTATCATCCTACAATCAACAAGTAAGGGAATTAAGTCTAATGACACAGCATGAAATTTAAACATTTTTAATGGTAATAGTTCAACAAAATGAGATATATTAAATTTAGCCATCTTGTTTGAATTATCAACAAGCACATCATCTTTCCTCCTAGAGCTTAATGCTAAACCAAGCACAAAATCCATGGAAATATCAAGTAATGATTTAGATGCATTGTGGTGGTAAGTAGCACAATTATGAACATAAGATTCTACATCGTTTTTCTTCTTTGGCCAATGAAAATATCTATGCAAAACATCATCACACTTTGGAAAATCAAATTGTCCCTTATGTGAATCAATAATTAAACCATTGCTCAAATCCAAGCAAAAAAGTGCCAATCCCATTAACTTTGTACGAAAACCCCTTGAGCAAGTAGTATTTCACATAAGAAGTTTTCAAATGTGCCTTATAACTTCCCAGTGATTCCTTATCTCTATCAAATAAAGTTTTAGTAAAATCAAAATTAAGAAATCTCGGATGTATGGATGCAAACAAATTTCTAACACATCTAGCAAGTAGGTCATTAATAGAAACATGACAAACAAATCTAGAGAAT